CGGCGGCCGAGCGGCCCCGACTTCCCGGGGACTGCTGGGGCGCCGCGGGGAGGCGGGCCGGGGGGCGGCGGAGAGCGAGACGAGGGTGGCGGATCTCCCTTTCTCTGCTCCTCTCTGGCGTCATCTCGGCCTCTTTGCTCGCCCGCACCCTATCCCTGGGCTAGGTAGGAAACATGAGCGGCGGCAACTTGGATGGGAACGATGAGTTTGATGAGCAGTTGCGAATGCAAGAATTGTACGGAGAGACCAAGGACGATGACACCCAGAACGATCCTGACGGAGAAACTGATGCTTTCGGCCAGCAGCCGACTGACACCCCCTACGAGTGGGACCTGGACAAGAAGGCTTGGTTTCCTAAGGTAAGAGAGTGGCAGGGCACCCCTGCAGAGCGGGCCGCCTGGCCAGCCTCGCGGGACACTCTTTTCACGTTTGCTTTGCTGAGGTTCTTGGTCCTAGCCCCCGTGGGTAGTGACGCTTCTTTTTGTTGTGTCTGTTGCAGAACTGATGTATATAAAAAATGTAACTTCTTGGAGTGGTTCTTAAATGTAACTCCTAAGTCTTTTCTATGCCTTATTAATTTTGTCTGTGAAGGTCACAGTTGGTTATTACATTGATGACTGCTTTTTATTGCAAAGAGGAAAAACACCAAGAGCAAATTTAGTAGCTGTTCATATCTGGTAGCCAACCTCACTTATCCTAGGAAATTCAGACGTTTAGTGTATGTACTATGTACAAAATGCAGCTTCTCAATTTAAAAAAGTCGCCATTTATAGATCTTTACTGATTGAACTTTGTTTGCACCTTGCTTTACTTTCCGACTAAATTTCGTCCCTAGGCATATGTGTTTGAACCTTATAACCACAGAAATATGACTAGGAATGTGCAGAGTATAGATGGAAAAGATCTGCGTATGTTTGTTTGGAGTACTTGGAAATTAAGTATTTTATTTCAGCTTGGAAGTAAAATAACTGGTGTTAAACTTGGTTTTGTAAACTTCGTGGTAAAAGTACCCTGTTAATCTAAGTCTCTTGGGTGGAAAAAGGGATTCTAATAGCACACTACTTGCCTTGCAAGCCAGTCTCCATTGTGTGATTGGACTGTTATTTTAAAAATTATTTACCCAACTTTTCTTTCCCATTTTGTATTTTGTGTGTATATTCCAATCTTTCCAAATTGTTAAAATTTACTATTTCACTTCCCTGTACTGGTAGTGCCAGTTTGAGTGCAGATTTGGTTTCTTTAGCCTTCTGGGTACTTTAACAATAGTCTGATAATGAATTAATGTATAACTCTATCGTTTTATGTTATTGAAGCCCATGCCTCTTCGAACTGTGAGTTTTAAATTTTCCCCATTCCTGTGTGTGCCTAATGTTTATTGAGAGCATGATATATACCTAACTACATTTCTTTCATTGTACAATAGTGCATTTCCCCTAAAAACCAGGAATATAGCTATGCGTTGGTTTTGTCCTTAATTTGTTTTGATACTAAAGGATAATGTGATTTAATTTGTGATAGAGTTAAAATGAGCATTTAGTTTTACAATTGTTAACCCCATTCTTTATACACCAAATCAGAGTTCCATTCTGTGCACTTTCTGCATACAGATATTTAATTACTTAGTGCATATACATATTTGTGCATCTACAGAGTAAAAGAAAAGTGGATTCTGTGGTTAGATTTATTAGTTGACTGTTGGTTTTTGCTGTTTTATTGTTATCTGGTACTTCCTTTGTTATATATATTTGTGGCCTTCATCAAGTAGATTATAGAGAGGTAATTTATAAATCAAACAAGTAAAAAAGGTGCCAACTTAACAATGCTTTATTAGCGTCTCAGACTTTTATGTTGATTACCTAAGTATTTTGTCTTATTTTTATTATTTTATGCACAATTTTCTAGAAAAAGTAACTATTCATGCACTCAACACTTCAATTAAACTACAACTATTATCCACAGAAACACTTCTTTGTTAGGTTTTATAGCTGAATATGCTGCAGTATAACACAATTTAAACTTTTTATGGATGAAAATAATTTTGAATTTCTGTATGGGTATATCTGTTGAATTTCTTGTTTAGATCACTGAAGATTTTATTGCTACATATCAGGCCAATTATGGCTTCTCTAATGATGGCGCATCTAGTTCTACTGCAAATGTACAAGATGTCAATACCAGGAACACAGAAGAACCGCCACAAAATAAAACCCCAGAACCCACTGATCCCAAAAAGAGGGGAGAAAAAAGAAAGACTGAATCAGGCAAGTGGTTCTAGTTTACAAATCATGAGTGTAAAAATTTTAAATGTGAGTGTGTACATACTGTTACTTTTGGAAAATTATGTTAGCTTTGCAGGAATAAGATGAGTTTTTTCTTTAAGGTAGTGTGAGAGTCATAAAGAATCAAGATAAATGAACCATCTTTTTTCCAGACAGGGTTTTGAAGCTAATTATCTGTTAAAAGATTCAAATTCTTTGAAAGCTGTGTAGTGATTTCAGTGAGTTTGTCTTGGTATTCTAAGGGTAAGAGAAAGATCCTAGAAGTTTTGAGAAACTGCCACATTATCAGGATTTCATGATGTGACTCTTATCTTTTCTTCCAAGTGTTTTTATTTATTTAATTTTTATTTTTAGGATGGTTTCATGTTGAAGATGACAGAAATACAAATGTATATGTGTCTGGTATGTATACCTTTTTAAACAAATTTGGAGTAGGAAATATTTGGTTTTGAAATTTTTCACAAAGTGAATTTTAGTTTTCATTTTCTCCAAAGTCCTTTTTTTAAATCATTGTGTCTTTTTTTAGTCAACCATTTATATTAATGAATATATTTATTACAGAACCAGGAAAAATTAAGAATATAACTTTGCATACCATCCTTTGTGCCTGCTTTAGATAACTTATGGCAGTTTGCCCTTCAGAATCAGTGAAGCCTTAAGCAAAGCATGATATTAATGTCTATCGGAATGCATAAAAAATGTGACATTTCCTTAGTTCTTTAGATATGAGACTTTTACATACATTTAGAAAATCAACATTATATTCACCTGAGTTGCAGATTTCCAGCTGGTAGAATGCTCAGTAACTCTAGTCTTTATTATCAGTCTTTATAATTAAAAAAATTTTTTTTCTAATATTGCAGGTTTGCCTCCAGACATTACAGTGGATGAATTTATACAGATTATGTCCAAGTTTGGCATTATTATGAGAGATCCTCAGACAGAAGAATTTAAGGTCAAACTTTACAAAGATAATCAAGGAAATCTTAAAGGAGATGGGCTTTGCTGTTATTTGAAAGTAAGTTATGTGATGAAATAAGTTTCTTCTACCTCCATTTATGACTCAGGTACCAGGGCTATAATTTTTATAGATGATAACCAAGACCAAGAATTATTCAAAACAAGATAGGAAGAAAACTGAAATTTCAGTTGGTACTTACATGTATTACAGTGGTAAGATTATTCACTTTTTTTTTTGAGTTGAAGTCTCACTCTGTCACCCAAGCTGGAGTGCAGTGGTATGCCCACAGCCACTGCAGCCTCGGCCTGCTGGGCTCAGGCGATCCTTCTGCCTCAGGCTTCCAAGTAGGTGGTACAACAGGCGCATGCCACCATGCCCGGCTAATTTTTTTGTGGTTTATTGTAGAGACGAGGTCTCACCAAGTTGTCCAGGCTGGTCTTAAACCCCTGGGCTAAGGCAATCCTCTCGCCTCGACCTCCCAAAGTGCTGAGATTATAGGCTGAGCCACCGTGCCTGGCCATTCACTTGTTTTAAGAAAATATGTTACTGGGTAAAAGTATTATATAAGTATGTGACTGGGTACTGGAATACTGTATACTCTCAGCACACCTGTGGTGTTCGCACTGTACTTTAGCATTTTGATTTTACTTTGTCTTTAAAAAATGCTCAATGTAATGATTTTTTATTGATGCTTATAATCAATGCAGAATGCGTTTTAAGAATCCAAGAAGAACAATGACATTTTGCTTACCTATTGCAATGAATTAGACTAGGGTTCAGCAAACTCTGGGCCACCACCTGTTTTTGTAAATAAATCTTCATTGGAATGAAGCCACACTAATTCATTTATGCGTTTGTCTATGGTTGCTTTTGTGTTTCATTGATAGAGTTGAGTGGTTGCAGCACAGACCTTATAGCTTGCAGAACCTAAAATATTTACTAACTGGCCCTTAAACAAAAGGACTTTTCTTATCCCTGAATTAAACTATAAAGAAGATAATAGCTTATGCTTAGTGCTTTAAAATATTTTTTTGAATGGGAGAGAAAAGAGAGTGGGATTAACAGAAACTTACAGACTTCATCTAGTCATGGTACCATAAATTGCACAGGGAGAGCTCAGTGCCAAAGGCAGCCGTCATTTCTGGAACACCTGCCACCTTAGGTTCATGTGCTATGCATTATTGCAGTGTACCAAAAAAATGAGCATGATGATGACATGTACATATTTTATAGAATCTGAAAATAATTGCAAAGTAAAATCAAAATACTAAAGCAACAGTGTGAGCACCACAGGTGTGTTGTGCGTATACAGTATTCCAGTAGGATCAGAAGAGGGTAGGATTAAGCTGACAGCTTTTTGGAAGATAGGATTTATCTCATGCATGATGGATATTGGACATGAGCATGACCATTTTAGGAAGTACTTTTCTAATGTTCAAGTATAAGGAGATTTGAGAATAAATTCTTTAAGGATTATTAAAAATCTGTGAACAGATTCTTGGAGGGTTTGATTATATTATTTAAAATTTTAAAGGACAAAATGGGGCTTGAGACACTTTATATGTATAATTTTAGGACCCATAAAAGTACAAAATTGTCAAACCAGTAAGTTGAGTTCCAGAAAAATCTTAGTTAATTGTTCCAGGATTTATATTTGATATGAGTAGCTGAGTTCAATTGTTCTTTTGTGTTTTCCACAAATCCTCAGATCTTTGACCTTGTGTGTAGGGCTGATAACTGCCCCCTCTGTGTAGGACCCAGAATCCATACATATGTTTAATGTATAATACAAGCCAATAAATAGTTACCTTTTACTTCTTAGTGTATAGCAGACCTACATTTTAGTTGGTGAGCCAAAAAATTAAAGGCTGGCTGTGCTATTTCCAGGTTTTTGAGTCATCTAGTCTTTAAACTAGGAGTGTTATAGGATTTTAGAACTGAAATCCTCCTTAGAAATTATGCAAGTTCACTCCCCTCATTCTACTTACGAGAAATTGAGGTTTCAAGAGGCAAAAGTACTCAATAATAATATAATTTATTGAGCACCTGCCAAATGCCAGTCTTTATTTTTCCCATGCATTATTTTATTTAATTTTCTCAAGAACCTTGTGAAGAAGGTATTATTGTTTCCATTTCACAGATTAAAAAATTGGGGTTCAGGGAACTTGAATAGCTTGTCTAAGTTCACACAGCTGGTTAGGGACAGCTACATCTCACATGCAGGTTTCCTGATTTGCATTCTAGAGGTTTTTTTTTTTTTTAATCCCAAAGTAGATAATTATAGTTCAGTCTTTATTGTATGTATAATCACTGTTCATCTAAGAAAACTCCTGAAGTTACATTTTATTGTGTAACTTACTGTATTTCATCTTACCTTTATAAAGAGAGAATCTGTGGAACTTGCATTAAAACTTTTGGATGAAGATGAAATTAGAGGCTACAAGTTACATGTGGAGGTGGCAAAGTTTCAACTGAAGGGAGAATATGATGCCTCAAAGAAGAAGAAGAAGTGCAAAGACTATAAGAAGAAGCTGTCTATGCAACAAAAGTTTGTATTGTTTTTTGAAAGATTTCATATAAATATGCTAGAGTATATTTTTTGTAATAGTCATCTGGTTTCATTTAATCAAGTGTACCTACAAATTATTTTAAAAGAATTTCATTAGATCATCAGGTACTTTTAGTAATCTATACAGTGGGATGATTTGGCAGTGGTGGGCTTTTTAATTTTCTAGAGTGTTTATTTGTAATGTAACAGGCTTAAATGAACTAAGAGAATCTGTCTTGTTGAAAAATGTTGAACATCAAATTAAATAAGGTCATTTAGGCTTATTTACCAGAACCATTAGATTATTTTCAGTGTGGATTGAAATCAGCTACACCAGGAACTAAATTATTATGTACAGATTTGTTGTAGGAATTAGAAATGATAGATATTATCATTGTATATACTGTGTGGTTGTATGTTGTATATATATAATATCATCAAGTTTCTTTTATTCTGTTTGTTTAATATACTTTGAAATATGTTAGTTTTTAGAAATTAGCCAAATTGGCTGGGATCAGTGGCTCATGCTTGTAATCTCAGCACTTTGGAAGGCCAAGGCAAGAGGATTACTTAAGCCTAGGAGGTCAAGACTAGCCTAGGAGTTCAAGACTAGCCTAGGCAACATAGTGAGACCTTGTTTTTACAAAAAATTAAAAAAAAATTAGCTGTGCAGCTGGGCTCGTTGGCTCAGCCTGTAATCCCAGTACTTTGGGAGGCCGAGGTGAGGATTGCCTGAGCCTGCAGGTTCAAGACCAACCTGGGCAACTTGGCGAGACCTCATTTCTACAATAAAAAAGAAAAATTAACCGGGCGTGGTAGCACACACCTGTAGTTCCAGCTATTTGGAAGGTTAAGGCGGAAGCATCGCCAGAACCCAGCAGGTCGATGCTGGGGTGGCGGTGAGTGTGCCACTGTCCTCCAGCCTGGACGACAGAGTGAGACTCAAAAAAAAAAAAATTAGCTGTGCATTGTGGTGTGAGTCTGTAGTCCCAGCTACTTGGGAGGCTCAGGCAGAATGATCACCTAAGCCCAAGAGTTCAAGGCTGTGGGGAGCCATAACTGCCACTGAACTCCAGTATGGGCAGCAGAGTGAGACTGTGATTCAAAAAGAGAAAAAAAGAAATTAATCAAAATGATAAATACTTTTATCAGAGTAAGTTCTAATGACACTGGTGATATTATGCTTAAACTAATTATAAAGTGATCATGAAAGTGTTCAGCTGTGATAGCCCATCTTTGTACAAGAGGATTTAAAAGTAGATAACCACAAATTTGATAAACAGTCTTAGTAAAATTTATGATTGTAGCAGAGTCATTTTGCATATTTCAGTGCAGTTTGTTCTTTATGATGGTAAAGTGCCTAAAAAATAAAAATGTTATAGCATTATGATAAATGTACAGGATTCACTTATGAGTGAGAACATGAACATTTCTCATAATACTACAAGAAAGGGATTGTTAGTATCAGGACACCGCCAGGGGAGGTGGGGGCACGTAACGTCACTAAAGGTACCTGAACCTAAACCAGGCAAAGTAAGGTCCAGTGGGAGGCCCGAACTTCACCACTTATGCACCTAATCCTGACTTGTACCCCACATTTTAAAAATTAAAACAAAATTTTTTAAAAAAAGAAACCTGCTAGAATCTAGGCGAGAGGGACCTGGAACAGAGCCTTCCCTCACAGCCCTCAGAAGGAACCCACTCCAGAACTATGAAACAATAAATTTCTGTGGTTCAAGCCAAAAAAAAAAAAATTTAAAGGATCTTCAAAGTGTATCTTCCTAGAGTCATAAATACTAAAGAATTAATAATTTCTTGAGTATAATCAAGCCGGGCTCAGTGGCTCAGCCTGTAATCCCAGCACATTGGGAGGCCGAGATGAGTGGATTGCCTGAGCCCACGGGTTCAAGACCAGCTTGGGCAACTTGGCAAGACCTCGTCTCTAAATTAAATAAAAAAAAAAAAATTAACTGGGCGTGTTAGTGCGTGCCTATAGTTCTGGCTACTTGGAAGGCTGTGGTGGAAGGATCGCCGAGCCTAACAAGTCAACACTGGGGTGACCATGAGTGTGCCACTGCACTGCTGCCTGGGCAATGGAGTGAGACTCCAGCTCAAAAAAAAAAAAAATATATATATATATATATATATATAATCAGACAATAGTTGCTCTGGAAAAAAGTCATTCTGAGGATTTCAGATACTGAGGCCATTTTTTGCCTGCCCATTATTTTTATTTTAGAAAATTCTCTGGAACTATGACTGAAATATACGTTGTTTTGGAATCAAATAGTTATCATTAATAAATACTCAATAAAGGAGTACATGAACAACTCCTTTCTCTCTCTCTCTGACAAGTCTGAAATAAAACTCACAGTTTGTTATTACTACTTCATTGCTTTAGGCAGTTGGATTGGAGACCCGAGAGGAGAGCTGGACCCTCCCGATTGCGCCATGAGCGAGTTGTCATCATCAAGAATATGTTTCATCCTATGGATTTTGAGGTAAGAAGTGGTGTACTTATGACAGAAATGCGGACAGGCTTTCTTTCTCTTAAGGGAGCTTAAAGTTTGCTGTGCCCTGTCTTTGTCTTGCCACCTCCTTCATGTTTGTGTAGTAGTAAGTAGTTAAGGCAAGAAAATGGAGCTAAGAAGCAGTCTGAGTTTTAGGGTTTGCCTTTCCTTGGTTTAGTCCAGTGTTATTTTAAATTGTAGCCCAGGTAATCTGTTTAATAGCCATACTATGGCTTCAAGCAGCAGCTACTTGGTATGGGAAATCATTTTAAAATATCATAATTAAAAGATTTATGGGAACTGCCTGTGGATTTTGAGTGTAGTTGAATAAGTATAGGCTGATTTTGGTGGAGAGTGCCAGGTTTGCACTTGCAAATGAAAGCCTCACTTTGGTACTAAAAATTTGATCCTTTAAAAAGATTTCATTTAATGAAATATAGCCCCTAATATTTAAATAGCAGGGTTTGTTTTTCAGGACCTAATTTTTACAAAACTCTTTAGTGGCTATTAGGAGGGAGTTACAGTACTTAATGTCCATGGAAAATTCCAAGGACAGCAAATAAGGGTGAATAGATATATCTATTATGAATCAATTTTCAAAAAAAATTTTTTTAATAAAGTGAATGGAACTGTCCCCCCTAAAAAAAGTGAATAAAGGAAGAAGAACGAGCTACTAAAGACATTTAAGGAATATTAATTGTTAAGGTACTTTATGTTGCATTCTGCCTCAATTCTTACTCTGTCTGCTAGTGTAGACTGATGTGATCGTTAGTGGAAAAACAACTCGCTAGAGTCTCCCTGGCTCTGAAATTAATGGTAGCAAGTTATACATGAGAAGAAAAATGTTTATAATGTGAAATTCCAGGTTTACAAGTGATCTACTTGCAACCAATGCCCATTACTATTCCTTTTGTGCATTAAAACAGTCAAAATGATATCTTAGGGCCCCAAAATGGACAGTTGAGCTCCATCTTGGCAAATAGGGCTTACTGTGTACTTCTGGAGTCTGGACAAATTTGGGTAATTGAGAAAATATGTGTGGTTTATTTATAAGGTTGCTTGATGTCTCTTCTGACCAGAAATCCGGAAGAATCATGAATTATAACAGCTACTCAAAACTTGCAGTGAAAATAAAGTATGTTTAAAAAACATACATGTATACATGCACACCAGTTGCTTTATGAAACACTGTCCTTGCCAGGTGGGACTTTAAAAGGAATGCTTAGATGGATTATAATATTTAGTCTACTAGATACAACTTCATAATTGCATGTGATTTATTACATTTTATCCCCCTGGTAAATAAGTAGTTTGTTTATTAGGCAATATTTATTTGTGTGACTTGAGGTCCTTGATTCACACATTTCATACTCCTACCACTGGAACATTAATGTAAATGAAAACTTAATTTCAAGCATCTGGAGCTTCTGCAAGTAGAAGTGTGTTGTGTAATTGCATCTGTTCTTGTTTCTACCTCCTGCCTTGCTCATTGAGATACCTTATTGGAGTCTATCACCCTGGGCAGCCTTAGCTTTTCCTAGTTTAACACATATTATTTCCCTCCGAAAGCTGCATTTATTTCAGCTTGACCCCTACAAATTCTTCCCAGTGGATATTTTTAAAGATAGAATTTTCACGTTTGCAAATTCCTGATTTTTTTTTCTTGGTGTAGTATAAACTTTACTTTGGAGTTGTAGAGCCTTTACATTACCTTGATTTTTTTGTTTCCCTCATAGCATTTATTACTATGTGAAATATTTTATCTCCTATACTAGAGTGTGAGCTCCATGATAGCAGTATTTTGTCTACATTGTTTGGTGCTGTGTTCTTGGTGCACAGAATTGTGCCTGACACACAGCAGGCCCTCAGTACTTGTATGAAGAAAACCTGAAAGAATGATTGAGTGAAGCCCTGTTACTCACAAGCCAGAGTCTTTTCATTCACTCACTGGGTAAAACATTTTCTTTTTAGCATCTTTGCAAGTGAAGGCAAGTTTATGCTACAAAGAATGGCAAGATACTCTGTGCTGGCAGTGGTAGGCTTCAGAGTTCACAGGCAAAGAAGTCCTTGGTGGCCGTATCCTTGTTTGCCCATCTTCCTGGTCCCATTTGGTCCAACTTGCCTGATATCTTAGGATATTAGGATATCTTAGTTTTTATTTCTATGTAGAACCTGTCAACCAGAAGAACAACAAATATCCTTGGTTTTTGTTCACTGTCTCTGTACCTAATTCTCAAAGTGTATCAGTATAGACCTGCACTATTTGATATGGTAGACTCTAGCCACATGTGGCTGTTTGAATGTAAAGGAACTAAAATGAACTAAAATTAAAAATTTAGTTCCTTAGTTATAGTTAAGCCACATGTGGCTAGTAGCCACCATATCAGATAACATCAGATATAGCATTTCCATCTTCACAGAAAGGTCTGTTGGACAACACTGATATAGACATTGTGCAACTCTGGAGAGAATTGTTCATCAGGAAGACCTGCTTTTGTGGCGTGATTTTGGGGAATATTTGATTTGACCGAAGGTTCCATATGGACCTCAAGAACACACACCAGCATTGAGTGTTTTAGTGGAAAGAAAAACCTCAATTGTCAGGTTGCCTTGAGGTATCTGAAAGAAATCCGATTTTGGGGGGTGGGGTGTGTTTTTATTCCAAACAGTTGACCAATTTTAGAAGTACCGTACTTAAAAATACTCTGATATCAGGGCAAACCTTGAAGGCTAATATTTTTAATGTGACTTCAGAAGGTCTTCGGTATTTAATCCAAAGCCTTATTTAAAAACATATTGCCTAGCATATTTGAATACCAAGAGATGAAGAATCAAAACGGGTTTCTCATCATATCATACCAGCGCTGTTCAATAGAAATATAATATGAGCCACATGTGTAACTTAAATTCTCTTACAGCCACAATAAAAATATAACATGAAACAGGGAAAATTAATTTTAGCAATTAATTGATTCCATGCACTATATAAAAAATATTATAATTTTAACATGGAATGAACATACAGATATTAATGAACTGTGTTACACTGTTTCTTTTTCCTTGGTACGAAACTTTCAAAATCCCATATACATTTCTCATTTACAGCATCCCTTAGTTTAGCTACATTTCAAGTTCTCAGTAGCCACATGGGGTTAATGGTCATTGTCCTGGACAGCATAAGTTTGGATTGCAAAGGAATGAGAAACATGGTTTATTTTTTCCAGGGAAAACAAAATACCATCCTGGAAAAAAAAATTTGAGAGTTGACTACAGAAAGTTTCAGTGCATGAGTAAGATTTTAGTTTCAGGTTGCTTGCAAAGCCTTGTCTTTAGAAAATTATCATGTGTAGCTAGTCAAGTTAAAGAGTCTTCCTAAAGAAGGAGTTCACTGTTTAAGCTTCGTGATACTATACAGCAATGAAGAAATATTAGGTTTCCAAGCTGTTATATGTGAAAATAGAGGTCTGGGAAGCCTTTGCCTGAGATTCGATATATTATAAGAATAGCAGTGAAACATTAGTATAGAAATAAAGATGATGCCTACTTCTCCCACCCATGAAATCACAATTAAATTTAAAATTTGTCGGCTGGGTGTGGTGGTTTACACCTGTAATCCCAGCACTTTGGGAGGCGAGGTGGGAGCATCACTTGATGCTAGGAGTTTGAGATCGGGCTGGGCAACACAGTGAGATTTCCATCTCAGTAAAAAAAAATAAAATTTGTTAAATATTTTGAAACAATTCTGTTGATGTAATCCTCATTTCCCTTGGTGAATAAAAGTGAAGTATTAGAAAGCTTATTAGATTCTGAAAAAGTTTTTACTAATTGTTGGCTGTGCATGTATAAAGGCTGTTCTGTGTTCTGTGAGGTATCCACAGCTCAGTATAACAAGATTCTTGCCTTCTGAAAGTACACAGTCCAATAGGAGCTCACATAACCAAAAACTACCACATGACTTTACCAAATGACTTTTATGCTCCACTTCCCATTCTTCTCAGGTCATATAATTCTGTACAAGACAAATTGACTTCTTTATCAAAATTAGGTTTTGTAAGTGAAGATATCCAGTGTTCCACCAGCTGTAATTTAAGAAGCTTCAGGTTTGTGCAAATGAATGGGATTTTATAATTTTTATTTTAAATCTGATTTCAGTAACTGCCTACCAGGTGTTTATCTTTACTTTTTGAAGACCTTTTGAGAAGAAAAGCCACTTTTTTGGAGTCCCTTATAGTTCCTCTTTAGTTGGCGAGATAGAGAAAAACCTGAGGGATAGATGCCCTTAAATGATTTTTAGAACGTGTAAGTGGACTTTGATAGAAATTCGTAGATAGGATATTTTAGTTTATATTTGTACATAGTTGAAATTCTAGTTTATAACGTAGCTTTTTGTAAGTCCTTTTCATGCATACAGACTTGGAGGAAGATTTGTTAATTCCCACAGGGAATCTTAAAACCTTTTGTTATGGGAAGGAGAATCCACCTGAACACTAGACCACTAGAAGCAGCAGTACTTGAATGCTCTTAATAGATTCATAGTTGCAAGAAAGCAACAGCAAAGAATTTCATTATGTGCTTAATAACAGCTCCCTATTTGTGTTGTTCTACGGGAGTATAGTAGGAGACAAAATAATCAAGGATCCTTATAAGGTTTACCCCGTGAGTTAAAATAAAATCTTGGAAGCTTGAAAAACAATCATAGAAAATTTAGTCAATAAAAGGGATATATCTTTCTCCATTACAACATTCCTGTGAATAGGAATCTATCCAGAACACAAAGCAAAGGTCTCATCAGTGCAATGGTGATGCCCATGAGAACATAGGAATTAGCAGTACCACAGGATTTCTCCTGCCTTCCCTTCCTCCTCCTTTGCCACTGTAGACCCCTTCTGCTGCTTACATACTTGTTTATTTCCTCTGATTTAAAGCAGGGCAGATCTGTAGAGTAGCAGCAGCTGTAGTAACTGTAGTAGTCGTCAAATTTCATTTTATTTTGATTTTTAAAGAAACATATAGACTGTACACAGACATAACCAACCCCAAGCAAAACCTTTTTTTTATTTGTTGGTTCATCAGAGCAAGCAATTTGATTCTCAGGATTTATAGTTAAAGAAAAGGTTAAACCCATTTTACTCATTTATATTTTTGTAGGATGATCCATTGGTGCTGAATGAGATCAGAGAAGACCTTCGAGTAGAGTGTTCCAAGTTTGGACAAATTAAGAAACTCCTTCTCTTTGATGTAAGTTCATGTCTTGGACAGATGAATCCTAAAGCAATCATTCTTCTAGCTTAGTGAGTTTTTCCCAAATATCAGTATGCCCTGAATTTTAGATTAGTGTTTTTATATATAGTAAAAACACTGCTGTCTGGTGGTATTCATGTGTTAGCAGTAATGAGATAAACAAGTATTATAAGTCAAGGCTTTGATAGATTTAGTATGCCTCGCTTACTTTTCTTCACCATTACTCTAGAGTACACGGTCAGGTAAAAGAAGGTACAAGAAAAATGTGAGACCTTGTTTCCCTATTGGTTCACGTTTGCCCCTCTTTGTGAATTATTCTCCTCCATATTTAGAACAATCATCTACTGTATGTTTCCCCTTTGCATTCTGTTTTTACTTCCAAAGTTGAGACACAGTAATTAAGAGTCACCATTTGTTGGTTGTGTGCTATTTTACATGTTATCTCATTTAATCTTAGTACCCTTTGAGGCAGGTAGGTACTGTTATACCCATTTTACAGTAAACTGAAACTTCACAAACTAAGCACCTTGCCCAAGGCCGTTCAGCTGGTAACTAACCGACAGAGCCAGGATTTACTCTCAGGGATATCTGATTTCAGATTTGACACTCTCAACAGTTACACTGTCTTGCCTCTCATTAGACAGTGATGTCAGCAGAAACATTTCCAAGGGCATTGGGCTTGGTTCTTACTAGATAAGGTTAAGCAAAGTCCATATTCAGCAATTTGGATGGATTTAGAGCTGATCATATGATCTATACAGAAACAAAGAACAGAGTACCATAAGTTCTCACTCATAAGCGGACCTTGAATAATGATAATACTATAAGAAAGGGATTGGCAGTAGTGTGAAACTGTCAGGGGAGGTGGGGTGGGATTGGCAGTTGAGGGAAACTGCTAGGGGAGGGATGGGCATACCTCATCAACAAGGGTACTTGCATAATCAACATTTGTATACCTAACCCTGAGTTGTACCCCACATCTTTATGATTAAAAAAAGATTAAGCTAAAGAAACAGCTGGCTACATGTCACTGACTGAGATAAAAGGGAAGAAAGACTTCATATGTAAAGTCTTTAAGCTCAAAGTATCAGAACACTACTATGTACCTACTTTGTTAAATGTATGTGTTTTTTAAAAATCTTTTGTTCATTCCTTCTTTTTCTTTGTCCTTTTAGAGGCACCCAGATGGTGTGGCCTCTGTGTCCTTTCGGGATCCTGAGGAAGCTGATTATTGTATTCAAACTCTCGATGGAAGATGGTTTGGTGGCCGTCAAATCACTGCCCAAGCGTGGGATGGGACTACAGATTATCAGGTAAATTCCTCAAAGGTCAGGGGCCCCAAAATTGTTTCATTATCAAGAAATACTAATCTAACAGTCCTTCAAATTTAAGTTTGGGGTTTGGTTGTAATCTATGTAATGTAGCAGTACCTCTTTTAAATATTACTTTGCATTCAGACGATAGAAAAAGAAATGTTTCAGTGTTTCGGTTTATAAGTCAGAAATTTTGAGGCTTGCTCAGAATAGTGATAAGAAAAGAACACATTAAACCAAAACATTTCTCTTTCTTTCAGTGTTGAATAGTACAGACAGAGCTCAAATGTTAACTTCTTTTTTTTTTGTTTATTTTTTGAGTTGGAGTCTCACTCTGTCACCCAGACTGGAGTGCAGTGGCCGCTCCCGGCCACTGTAGCTTCGACCTGCTGGGCTCTGGCGATCCTTCCACCTCAGCCTTCCCAGTAGCTGGAACTACAGGTGCGTGCTACCACACCTGGCTAATTTTTG